ATGCCTCCAAGTAAACATTCAGAAAGTTCAGCATGCGGTGAGTCGTGCGGCATCCTATCACGTTTGTCGTTCCAGAACGAGGGAAGTGGACACGGAGCATACTCTCTATCCAGAGTTGGTGTGCAAAACATCCGTGTTCTATGTTTTATATGCGCAATGACCCTCTCGGGAGATGGATTTTCTTCGGCAGATGTGGCGAGAGTGGCATGGGAAAGCGTGTAATGGTGGGACAATCTGGTTCCTTCGTAGAGCGCGACAAGAGGGCGAACGCCTGCAAGAGGTCGCCAAAGCCCTTGTACCGAGGCAAGTCTCGCCATTGTAGATGAAGGCAATATTTTTCATGCTTTCGGTCATGCCTATAAAGCTGGATTGTGAAGATTCGCTGAGTGGCTTGGTGTTTGAATGTGTTTCACGAGAGACTGGGGAGAATGGTAACTCGGCCGTGGACTCTATCTCAGACGGCATTCAACAGGCAGTGTCGAGAAGACACGAATGGAAAGTTTATGTCGTCAACTGTACAGCCAGCTGCAACCAGACGATGACATTGACATGGGCCTTCTATTCGCTTCATATTGTACAGCACATTCACATGGGCGATGTCAGGAGCGTCGACAAATTGTGTTCAAATCAACAAATCAATGATGTCAATTCGGCAAGTGCGCTTGGCGTCTGCCAATCAAGGATGTCTCGGTAAGTTTCTGGTTTGCTACGCGAGTATCTTAAAAGAAACCAGCCTCATATCGACCATGACAACAATTGATGTATCTCGCGCAGGACTCAACATCGCATTGAACGTAGTATCTCCGACGTCCGAGATACCTGTTGAATCCCATTATATTCTTACATCTGATGTTCGATGATGCCCATCATCACGCAGACCTCGCACCCACCGGATGGACCTTGAATCAACAATGTGGCAGTGAACGTGGTTCTTAATCATTCGTACGCGTCTTCTATACGTGAACCGCTGCGTCCAGCTGATCATAGATCCGACCTTGAGTGTGTGACCGTGCGAATGCGGCTATCGTGGAAGAATATCACGTAAATAGACCACAACGAGATAGTTGCTACGGTGCTCGAATGACCATAATAATTCGTAAGGTGAGGGGAGTCAAATGGCCGAAATAATATTGTATACCTTGACTCCAAGAGGGAACGCTCGACGCACCACTAGGCCTCTCATTTCTGGCCAGCCGCCAACCTTGTCCTAGCCACATGTTGCTCATGATTCTTCTGTACCTCCTCATATATCCTGGTCCAGTTGCAACACATGGTGTCATGATTCCTGATTGCTGTACTGACTGGATTGCTCACTGATTTGATTCACAGGTTCAGTCAGCACAGAATTGACTGTTGGAGGTAATTCATGTAATGCCACAACAGTGGCATCATGAATGCCTGTAGTTCAGCATACCATGCACATATCACATTGAGACACTAAGGTGGCTTTATGCCTGAGCTCAGGAGATCAACAGCATCTAGGAATCCAGTGACTCTGCAATATAGATATGTCAACAGTATGACAGGCTCAGAATAGAGTGTTCAACTTACAGTTTAATCTGCAAGAGTGAATATGCATATCACCTTCTGCTGATGGGAAAGACTGTAGACTTCAAGCAGAATTGGTCCCTTGAATGGCAAATAGAGAAATTTGATGCTCTAAGCTGTCTCAGAATCTTAATGTTTTTCAGCCAAATGGATTTAGAAGTCCACAGATCACCACATGGCTGTTAAGGGACCTAATGACTGAGGATCAGGAGTTCAACTGTTAACTGGTACGAGGGCTTATACATGCTATTGTCCTACACTGATACTAGACTTGTAAACTGAGCCACTATATTTGATAGTGGTTTGAGAGCGTATACAGGTTGAAGCAGAGCTTCAGACTAAGACTGAGACTTGAATAGACAACTGAG